ATAATAGGAAAAAGGTTTGGTACTAAATTTTTATATCACATTTTTTTCTATTTATCTGCCTTTTCTGTAGGGCTAATTATAGACCATGAAGAACAATGTGTACGGGTATGACCTGAAGTGCAGACTCGCAGGCTTTGTCCCTTAACTACTGAATCAGAATCTTTGAGGGTAAACCAATAGGAATTTGAATTTTAAAAATAAGCTCTTTGGGTGACTTATAGAGATTAAAAGTGGCTCTTCATCTGCTGTTGTAAAATTTTACAAATGCATTGGCTGGTAAGTTTCCTTTTTCTGTGACAAGAACCTTTTCTTTGCAGAAAATAAAAAGGTAATCAGCTTTCCTGAAAGCACATGCTTCCAGAAAAGCCCCAATCGCTGTGCCTCTATCATCTGAGGCAGCAAGAGTGGCCTCCACCCTCAGCCCTTACTCCCTTGCAGAAGAAGCTGCCAAATCCCATTACAGATGGTCCATTTTCATTCCCACTGTTATATATGGAACTCTCACAGCAGCTTAGGAATCTGGATAAAGAAGGAATGAACAGAACTTAAAGTACTTAACAACCAAGACTGGTCTTTTAGAATTACAAAATTGAATGAGTATAAACAACGTTTAAATGGAAAGTGTCTGGGCTACAAATAATGGTAGGCTAGATAACGGTAGCTAATATCTTTTGAAGATTTACTACTTGTTAGATACTCCCTAGGAGCTTCCCCATAACCTTAGGACATAGGTACTAGGATGAGACCCACTCTACAGACATAACTAATTTACCCCAATTCTCTGAGCTTGCAGGAAATGGAAGCAGGAGGCTTGGTTCCAGAAGCTGTGCTCTGAACTACCAGGCCACACGCCTCTCAAAGCACATGTGGATGCCACATGGCCTCTCAAAGCACACGTGGACGCACGTGGGTGTGCGTTTAGTCATCTACCCATACCAGGGTGTTATTCATGTTGAAACTGTCTACGAATGCTTACTTTAATGGTTGGAATTTCAAGCAAACGAGAAAATATTTGTACCCTCTAAACCATTAAGATTTTCGTGGAATTCCTTCACAGCCCGCATCCCTGTGTCTTTCAGCAGTAATGTAAAGTTTAACAGTTAGGTGGGAACTTCTATAAGCATGATTCAAACAAGTACAAGAACTATCAAAGAAAAAACTTTCTCCTTTTAACATCTACTCATAAGTCTCTAGTTCCCTCTGAATTTGATTTTAAATCTTGACACATTTCCCAGAAACTGCTATCTTCTAACTGACTTCTATTAAAGGGTTTAGAAAAAGAAAAAAGATTGTATACAATGCAGGTGATTGTTATCACACTATTTCATTCTCCCATTCTCTCTCTAGAGCATACCACTTGCTCTAAAATCAGTTAATAACAGTCTCTCAGCATGTTTGGTTGGTTAATGTACATATGCACAAATAGGTAACCCACTAGGACCAGTTTGACTGACCCCGTCTTACCAACTGAGTAATTAAAAGTCATCTTTCAGGAACCGAGAGTTCCCGTTTGTCCAGTTCAGGCTGGTTGAGACCACCAACCCATCAACTGGGCCTGCACAAAGGCTGGATGAGTGAGCTTTTTGATGTCAAGAGGCTGAAAACCCCACCCTTAGATCATCCTCACACCATCATTTTGTGAACATGCGTCCTATGAAAAGCCATGAAGCTTGACTGCACTTACACAGATCATCAATTACACCTCACTTCTCCCTACCTCCAATCATCTATCTCCACACTTCGGACTGCCCTGCCCTTCATCCTGTAAATTTTGCCCTAAGCTCTGGATCAGGGAGACAGATGTGAGAGCATATGCCTCCTGTCTCTTTGCAGAATCTCACAATAAAGCTGTACTCTTTTCTCAAAGGCTGGTGCTGTAATAATTGGCTCTTTATGTGCATTGAGCAAGAGAACCCCCCACTTTGTGGGGTAACAAATACATGAGTGAATATATACACGCACACACACATCATAGACTAGAATGCTTTCTTGGAGGTGGTTTTGGGGGCCTATGTGACTTCTCTATTGTTATCATTTAAAAGTTTCATAACACTTGCACTCATGAGAAAAATTATTAAAAACTTGGGAATAAAGAGGACTATACACGTCCTTTAAATGTTATGTTTCACAGACTCACCCAATGATTATTAAATTATCTAAGAAAAAACATTTGAGTTAGACTTTACTATTAACTTTTTGATTAGAGTCCAAACACCTTGAAAGTGTATGTTAATCTGTAGACTTTTGTCTAGTAGAAAACATAATTCAAAAGGCTTCAGCTCATGGGCCAGTAAAATGTTAACCAGTTCTGTGTCTATTAGCCAATTCATTTCAGAATTCCTTTGACTCACTGTTTCTATAAATCTTTATTCCTCAAATTCTCCTTTGAATCAGTCTTATCAGATTACTGATTCCCATATTAATTAGTTGAATAAAATCTTTGAAATGTATTTATTTTACTTTTGCATGAAAGTTATTTTCACTTTTTGAAAACTTTCCACACAGTAGAAAGGCTAATTTGCTAGATTCAACTGAAGTATTGTTGAATCATCTTTTCTTCTTTTAGTTTTAACATTCTATACAATTTTTAGAAATTGTTTTAGGCTCATATTTATAGTCTACCTAAGTAATATAATCCGTCACATAAATAGGTAAGTAAACTTCCTTGAAAGCTTCCCTACTTAAAGGTAAATACATTAAAAAAATAAGAACTATTTTCCATATCTGTAAGCCATGCTCAATAGAAAGACTCCGTAATAGGAACTCTATAAGACTATGCGGAATTTTTTTTTAAACACACATCTCACAGGGTGTTGCTGTTAGGTTGTTTTTATAAATTATATTGTCTCTTCATTTCCCTTTTTATTTGGAGTACATTACATACTTCGGTGGTTTCAGAGAAAGCATGTATCTTAATCCAAGCATATTTTCTGGAGAGTACAAGATAATATACCAAAATATGAACAAGAGCAAAAGCTCCCCATCCAATCGAGTGGCCTCAGAAGGACAAATGCCAGAGGAACTAAAGTAATGAAGTCCTAACATTGAGGAAGCCCTGGGGAAGCGGCCGCTCCGTTTCCCTTTTCAAAAGCTTTTCATATAGAGCATCTGCCCACTCCCCTGTAGAGATGGGGTTAACTCCATAGAGATGAGGTTAACTCCCTAGACAGCTACTCATTCTCTTCCTCCCCTCCCCAGTGTAATACAAACCCAAAGAGATTAATTAACACTTGTTCCAGGAAGAAACACAGACAATAGCATCCGATATTGGAATAGTCCTTTGTGAATAAGTATAAGGCTAACGGAGGAGGAGGGAGATATTTTCAGAGAGGAAAAAAGCACTGGACTTGATTGCTTCAAGTCGAAAGAAATTGGCATAAGTGGTAACAGTCTGAACAAAACACTTGAAAAAAATAAAAGTATGAAAAAAACAGTGAAATTTTGTACTGAGTGTCTACTGTATTTGTGGCGATGGTCTGTTATCTGAAGACGCTAACATAAAATGAAAGTTTCACCTAAAACATCTACTATTATAGCATGCACTGAGGATCTGAGGACCTTAAACAAATGGATGGTTGTCATGCTACAGGCAGACATATGAAGGCACCAATAGAATGGGATTCCTTTTTAGTATGAGTCATTTTATATAACACAGTTATAAATATAGTTTATTTTTTCAAAACAAAATATAGTCAGACTTAAAATCTCTCTGCTCTGGGATAAACACTTGACAATCTAAAGTAAAGATTCCTTGTTTTTTGAAGAAATCTATGAAAGCAAGTGCTTTTTACAACTTGACTGAATCTGAGTCTATTTCAATAAGTAAATTCCACACTCACTTTTGAGCGATGACTTCAGAAGCTGTCAAGACCTACCAGTTACAATTTGTGTACAGAGTTAGTTTCTTTAAAGAAACTAAAAGGGTTTCATGGACATTATCTAGCAATTCCTTCTCACAGCATTCCAGGAAGATAAAAAACGTGCATGCATTAAGTCAAAAGGTATCTCGATGTTTCCCATTAGTGAGCTGCATCCATGCAATAAATCCCGCTGTTAGCAATATTCCCCAATAAAACTTGATATTCATAAGTTCATGCATATCCAAATTTACATTAAAATTTAAAATAATGAATCTTTTAACATTGTGAAAATGGATATATGCTCATTTCATGACCAAAATCACCACCACCATTCCATTGTTCCTTTTTTTCAGTTTCTTGCATATTTTTAGTTACAAATCATAAATGACATAAATAGGACAATGCTAATCCCTTCATATAAAACTTCAATATCTTCCTACAAGCCTATACATAAAATCTAGACTTCTCAGTATGACTTATAAGATCTGGGATAGTTTGTATCTACAGCCTCCATCTCTTCCTATCTCTCGCATTCACTACATTCTTGCTACTGTCCCTTTCCTGTCTTCAAACACACCAGATTCTGATTCTCCCCTTCTCAGGGCCTTCATATGTGAGCTTGTTCCGCCTTGGATATGTCTGCCCCACATTCTAATCACCCCGGACCCAAAATTCTCTCTCTTATCACATGGCTGACTCCTTCTCATCCCTCTGATCTCAATTTAAATGTGACCTTCCTGGATAAAGTTCCCAAAAACTGGATTGTCTCACTGAATCCAAATGGCTAATGAGTTTTTGTTCTCATTACATGCTCCCTGTGCATCTCTTTTATGATGCTTTGCTTGGAAATGAGAGGAAGGAGGTTTCAGACAATGGAAGTATTGGTGTAGAGGTGCAAGAGGGGAAATAGTGTCTGTTCCCCAGCCCGGCTCTGGAAACTTAAGGAGGGGGAGAGAGAAAAGTTCAGCAAATGCTGAGGCAGTGTTTTAATTGAGGTACTCAGGGCACAAGAAGCAAGGTCACTGGCAAGAGTGGTAGTGGCATGATTTCTCCCTTAGAAACTTGAAGGCAGCAGGTTTGAAAGAGGAAAGCAAAGCAGATGGAAGTGGACAGACTTGTTCTTGAGCACATAGGATATACCCTTGGAGACGGCCATAAATCACCAGGGAGACTGTGAGAGGAGGCCCAAGCTCTGCTGCCGGAGTTCTGCAATGGAAGGGAATCACGTTTATCCTCAGGCTGTCAGGTCTGAAGATGCTTAGGTTAAGTAAATGACCCCTGAGATGGTACAGTCAGTGATTATCAGCAGTTACGGACCTGTCTCTATACTAAACCAGATAACAGCATCCAGGAATGGTCAAAAGCCACAAATCAATCCCACTGTCTTGTCATGCACCCGAGAAATGCTTCTCTCTTTCCTAACAGCTACTTAATGGATACTGGCAAGCTGTCAATTAGACAAAGAAGTGAGAATAAATGTTGCTCCCCAAATTTAAGGTGAGTCATCAGTCAGACTTGGTATTGTCAGGGAATTTAGTCTGTTTTCTAACTGGCTTTATTTTAGCACAGTCATAAATCTAGCTGTAATTAGTCTCTAACTCCAATGACTCAACACATTTAAGCATTTCATTTGACTCTCAACCGGAAAAAATTGCAACTGATTAGACAATACTGATATGCTCTCGCTTGCATGCATATGATGCTGGCAGTATAACATGTGCTTTTGGTATCTGTTTTTCTTCTTGTGGTATTGAGAGATTACCATGAAGGATCTTCTCTCTCTCCTAGTCCTCTCTGAGTCTACTGGGATGCATTCGAGAGGAAGTGAATATGATAGAGTTTGGGGCCAGTGGTTAGATCTTTTTCCCCGAATATGAGACAAATTAGCTTGCATGGAAATTGAACAGAGCAGGAGAAAATAATTTTTTTAATAAATTTACTTAAATATCACCTGAGTCAATGAAGAAACTATATATGTTCTTAACTGACAAAGATTATTTTTAACCGAGATAACAAGCAAATTGCTGTTTTAATCACTAGGATTACTATTTAAAACAGATAGGCGAACATTTACTTTTTAATCTGGAAACAAATTAAAGCAAATATTTTATATTTAAGTCACATTTCACACATTTTAAAATGAATAGTACATGTTTTTAAACTTTGAAAATGTATCTGTTATCTGTAGGTATTTCTGCATACGTCAAGATTTTCATTTCTCCAAGGATTTTTATTCACCAACAGAATCAAAATAGCTTTGTAAGGTTTCATCATGTTAATTTAACATGTAAGTTTTTAAGAATTATCTTGTAAAGGAGATAATAATGAAGTTTAAAGTAAGAGGCATCATCTGTGGACGCTCCATTTTCAGATTCCAAGAAAACCATTAAAACATTTCTAGCACTGAGAGTGAATCAGATGGGTTTGTGCACTCGCTTGTGTGGCCATATTGTATAGCAGTGGGGGGTTTAGAGTTATAAGGTTCAGTCATCCATTTAGTCTCCAATTGGAGCTCAGGCAAATGAAATTTATGGTTATGAGGAAAACTTTCAAAAAATGTTGCTCTATTTGGTAGACCCATGTTAAAAATTATTCAGTGGAACTAAAAAGTCACTTATTTTGAAAATAAAAAGGCACAAATATACAAATGAAAAAGAAATTAACTGGAAGATTTTGAACGCTTTCTTTCAATATAATTACCATAAAATGCAAATAGAAAATAAATCAACATATATTTGTTAATGTTATATTTACCATATTTTCATTTCACGTGTTCTACTAAAGCAAATACATGAATTTTTTGTATACAAAAGAAAAACCTCCACGAAGTATATACTATCTGACCACAGGGTAAAATTTTCTATGATTATTAGAATGGGAAAAGTGTGAACACTTAGATAGTTTTCATAACTTTAAATAATTAAAATATATTTAATAGAAAAGGAAACCCTATTTTGCCAATAGTTTGAAATCTTAAATATATACATGAATACAAAACATACAATGTCAGTTTGTCCTGAAAATAAGAGCTTTAAAAGAATTTAAGCTTAAATATTCTCCTAAATGCTTTGTGAGACTTAAGACAAAATCTTCCTTCAGAGGTCCTGACAAATGGGGATAGAAGAGAAGCAAAGATGTTTAGAGAGTTCAGGGAAAGTTGAAAAAGGGCCTTTGTCAAATATTCCTTACATTTTTAAAGAATAAATGGTAGATAGTTTTCTAGGGAGACTGCAAAATTGCTAAAATTAAATGTTTGGATATAAATGTGGAAAACAGAGTTAGCTACCTTATTTTTAATTTAATATTTTCAAAGGCAAATTAAAAGCAACTATTTTTTTCTAAAAGTCCTCAATTCTAGATGCATATTATAGGAAACTTAGACATATAAGAATAGTACATTTTAAAAGTCCTAGATGACATACAATATAAACATAAGTATATTTACAAATGATGCATTTGTTTTCGTTTTAAGTGTAGTTGTCTAGAATTTTCAATACCTCCTCCCTTTTGACTTGTTTTATCTTGACATTCAGCAAAAACAAGTGTTAACAAAATTGGGAAAAAAATTAAGTAAATTGGTGCCTGATAGCATAAACAATAGTAATGTGAGATGGGAACTTTATGCATTATTTGGACTAATAAACTGTCTAATGTTCTAATAATAAACATATTGTTTATCCACCAAATTGTGGCCGTCATCATGAGAGGCTATTAGCAACTCAAAATAGTGCATTACACCTTAATAAAGGGTGCTTTTGTATAGGCATTTGCTCTTATTGCTGGTCATTTATTCTCCAAATATCTTTTAGGTGCCGGTTACAAAGATGGCCAGAAATTTAAATTCTGTGTATATAATAAGGAGAGCTGAGTAGTCACTCAATAAAATCAGGTGTATAATACCAGAAAGAGACTTATCTTGAGGCTAAGGCAATATGGACAATGTATTTCTTGTTGGAACCATTTCCGTGTATAGTCCTTAAACACTTGACACTCATTTATACTGGGGGTTTATTACTTCTCTTCACCTCTAATGTCTTAAGCACAAGTATACACACTTGCAGCAGTATGTCTACATAAGAAATTTTTGATGGAATGGGAAAGATGAAAATACAGATGTTTATTCCAGAGATGCTGAAATGGTTTATAAAAATTCTATGACTATAAGGAATACATGCATAATGCAATATATCAGGAGAGAACAACACTATCTTTAAATAAAAACAATACATGTGCATTTTGAGAGGTTGGGATTCACTGGTCAATGTCACTTGACTCACAACTGACAGCGTTGGCTTGAAACAGATTTTAAAACAACGTCTGTTTTAATGCAATAAATCCTGACAAGGAATTTGTTGGAGCTGACCATGGTACCTCTTCATAGTCAGAATGTTTATGAGAGGAAAGGAAGATTTGAAATTTGGGCTCTAGGGGCTTGCTATGATAGTTATTCTAAACAGTTAACTTCAAAATTGAGTTTGTCATTTCTATCATCAAATACTATAAAACATGAGGTAAAAGTAAATGTTAGGTAATTTAAAAGCTACAATAAAATTCATTTCAGAAAACTGCTGATTTCCTAATATATGCACTGTTTTCAGCATCTTTGAAAGTGTAAACTCTATCAGTATGACTAGCAGATGATGAGCAGGTGGTCTGTGTGATATTATCCATTACACAGTCAGAAATCAAAGTCTTTATTTTCACTTTATAAGCTGTTTGGGAAGAAGGTGTATGTGTGTATGTGTGTGTAATAGGGAGCAAGAGGAGATTAACTTATAAGCCATTATCTGATGCAAAAACAGACATGTCCTAAGTCATCTATGAGGAGATGGTTCGATAACAGCTAGGCATTTGTATAAATCTTTAGGGACCTGGTTTCTCTCAAGTGTGACAGAACACTCATCTTAACCACCAGCACTCCTATTTAAAAAGATCACATTTAGCAAATGGCTCTGGTGTTTTAAGTTCGCTCAGTGACAGATTTGTTTTCAATCTGATTAACATTATCTGAGAACTACAAAATGAACTTCAATTAAAATCCCTTTTAAATTTTGTCTATGTGAGCCCCACCAAGAATGGTCTTTGAGTGTACTATAAAAATGATCTTTAAAACATTCAAAGATGATTATGAAAGAGATGTTTTGAAGCTATTGAAAATAACTATTGCTCAATGCTGTTCTGTGCACCCCTAGTAACACTATATGAAAAGACAAAAGTTCATCCCAGAAAAACAATGCTATCTAGCCGCCAGAATCCAAATGGATTCAGCATAAGTGAGCAACACATGAAAGAGATTTGTGCTGAAAAACAGTGATGCTCAAGTACAGAGGCTAAGGTTCTCTCTCAATTCCTTTCCACCTTCCTTCCCTGTCTATTCTGTCTGACATCTAATCTTTTCATAATGCTGTATGTGAAAAAAGTTCCTGTTACAGAATTTTTAGACATACATTGCAAATTTCTCTAATTATGCTCATGTAATCACGAACTCTTCACCAGGCGACGCTGGCTTCTTTGCCTACATGCCCATTGGTTTTCTGGATCAGGGAGTAATTTACATCAGGAATGGCTCCCCCATTTAGGGTCCCTGGAAATAAATAGTGCTGAATTAATTAGGACTCTATATATTCTCATGGAGTAAGAAAATATAATCAATAATCCTTTTGAGGAATCCTATATAGAAACATTTATAGAAAAAAAGGCTTTTTTTACTGTGGCATTCTTTTTATGAGAGGAAAAAGACAAAGGTTAACTCCACACAGAGGCAATGATCTAAATTAGACACATTTATCCATATATTTCCAGACCTGTGACTGAACTCATTCTTTTTAAAAAAATCCTTCTTTTTTAATAATACAGACCCTCTCTTTTATAACAGGATATTTTTATACATGTATACTATCATCATTTTCATTATTTATAGTTACACACATCTTCCATTTAATTTACTCTTTAATCTTATTTATTTGGTATACTTGTATTTATTGTCATTAATAAAACATGTAAATACAATCTACCAGCATTAGGCAGGAAATATTTAAGAGGTCTTAAACTCTTTTATGCCAAGAAAGACAGTGGTTTGCCAAGAACCACAAGCTTTTTAAAGTTAACTTTGATCTGGGCCAGCTGAAGGTTCAGAAGAGGGCTCTTTGAAGAGATGGCAAATGAATAGATCAGTCAATTGCCTGGTGGGTTATTCTCCTTCATGG